ACAGAATTCACGGAAACAACCTTTGTGCGGCCTTTTTAATTCTTGAGAAGTGAATATTGTTCCTAAAGATAACTCCTGCTGTTGTTTTCAGTGAGCAGACTGGAAAGTGATTCCAGTAGGTGAATGACAATCGGTGTAACAATTTCGATAAATCAATCAAGGGAGTTGTCATGGAAGATTGTACAAAACCATTAAATCAAATGAGAGATGATAGAATATTCAGAAATCATGTTGCTGAACATGCCCGATTCACCATCAATCGGAGCGGTTTGAAGTTGGTTGCAGGAAAAAGTAGTTGTTCTCTTAGCAGGTAATAGATGGCATTCTGAAACTAATGGTTTCACAGTATTTCATTTAGTCACTCCGGAATTTCGGAATATTGTGTTTTCTATGTGAGGTACTTATCAACATACAGCTCTTCTTCTCTCTCTCGCGCGCGCTACAGCAAGTTCTGCCAAAATCGCAAGAAAATATCGGTTACTAAGTGTATACACAAAATTGAACTTCATTTATTTGCAGTTTGGATATATTGGAGTACAGCCCACTGTTTCACTTTGGCCTCAATCGAGGAGGTTTCAGAGCACTCAGAGGCTTCTCTCTGTTGTTTAAATCATATCAATGATTAGTTGAATAGGCATTCCATCTTCTCATCTTGTCTTGATCTGGTTCAACCGGCATTGCTTTGAGAATATATTAAAGCATACCGGATTAAACCAAAACAACTTCCATCCCAGAGGAATTTTCAATAATGCTCAAGCTCTTCTATTTAATGATCGACATAATGGCGGTCAGTTCACATGGATGCGGCAAAACCTAGATATTGATGTTTTGGACCCCACTGTTTGGTATATGTATACAAGGTGTTCTGCTCCTAGGTTTACATCATCAGTGGTCGGATGAAGGGAAGGCGAGGGGACGGTGGCTAAATACTCACCTCAAATTCCACACCACATCCATTCGGGCAGACAATCACGCGAAAACCACAGTGGCTCAGATGGCTACCCAGCTGAGCCAGTTTACCCGTCCACGAGCATCCCCTGGCGCAATAGGTACAACGAACGGCCAAATTGTCCATTTGTAACTGGAAATCTTTATCCATCCGAATATGGTCCTGTTTGAGGTATGTGTTGTCCGACGGGCATCGGGATGATCCACTGCAAAGTAACATTAGAAAAAGAATAAATCACTGCTTGGACCAAACATATTCATGCCCTCGATATAACAACTGACATAAAAGATTTCATAAACTGCTGAAGTTTTCAAGATTTGCTAGGATGTACACTGTATCCGTCAAGTAGTTTTCATGATAAACCGGAACATGTTGCGTTTCTCGTCCCATATTTTATTCAATTCTTGTCATTTGATTGGTAATTTGGATTTGGGTTGCTCACTCGCAGTGGTCTCCGAACAGAACAAGCCTCGGTTAGGAGGTGACTTACTCAACAAGTGCCATCGTGCATGTCCACTTGCTCACACGTGATGATCAGGGACGAAATTTCACGAGCGATTTTGGGTTGAGGTAGAAGTAAATGAATGTGTACGCATATATCTGTTTGATAGAGTCTACAGAGAGGCCAACACCTGTGAAACATTGAACAGCGAGGTTGCTTCCCGTGAGGTTAGAAGAACGGTTAGCTTACGCCTGCACTATTTCAATCATGCTTAATGCATAGAAAAAAGAATAGTCATTTGTTTTTCATTTGAGGCTTTGCTGCAACGTGATGTTCTAATCCTTGTAGGTTGCCCAACATTGCGACTAAAATGTCACCGGATGCAACTTTGGCAAGATCGGGTCGTCATGACCACTGAATGGATCAAAATATTGGCCACAATGCAACACATGCTCCGTTTGATCAACCCAACCAGATGACAAAAAAAATTCAAACTGAACAGGATCACGGAAAAGTGCATGTCTAAATCACTAGAGCAAGCACGAGGATAGAAGCTTTTAGCTCTGCTGGGGATGAACTGTAATTAAGCAAATTAGCCAGTTCAACCGATAGGTGGAAATCACCAGAGAAGATTACTTTTTCCACCACATCTAGAACACCAATACGAATTACGAGGCGTTGCACAAACGAGATTTGAATGCCCGAAATTGGTTCTATTTTTTTACATGTCATATTGCTCCCGAGAAAGGCATTCTGTTTGCATTGCACACCGCCTAGGTAATCTTCAACGATTACAATCTCTGAAACCATTTTTTATCTTTACTCTACTCTACTTCTGATACAACCGTAGACTTAACTTCGGGAGTTTCACTTATATGGTGGGGTTCAGTCACCGTTACGTGAACTAACAGTCGATTTTGAGTAATCCAGAAAGTCGTGAAGCTTAAGGATTACGTTTTGGAGCATGTGCGTTTAGTCCATGCTGACTCATAGACAACCAGATCTGTTTCAAATTCGTTCGCTGCGAAACTTTGACCCTTATGAGATGGGACATTCTCCACATGACCCACTCATTCTCCGATCACATGGCCTATAAAGACAGCCACTAGGCAGCCAATCCGCCCTTGTCAAAGTATCCCCGGATAATGATAAAGTACGCACAAAGGTGTATTGAGGAATTCAGAAAGAATCTTAGATGGCAAGTCTTAATTAGCGACTATACTAACACTGAGGAGCAAAGGTTCCAGAATTCGGTCCGAAAGAACGATCCCACAGTTTAAGATCTCAACTAGCACCAAATAACTGTCCAGTGCTTTTCGTGGACAATCACATACACGGACCGATGAGGACTATGACTACAGCTACCGACCTTATCTTCGAACTAATTCTTCTACTACTCAGTGAATAAACCCCTACATGATAGACATTCAGGAAGGGAAAACCCGTCGACCAGAGTGCTGTCAATGGAGTTTTACAAATGTCCTTAAGTCAGGATGTATTTTGCGATTGGATTACAAACCATTAGAATGACTTCACGATTTTCTACGAGATTTACATCTTTATGTATATATATACGTATATATATGGACATGGTAGATGTTTAGATTATCCCATTCAGTTTTTCACAGGCGCCCGGCACTGTTGACAATCTTGCGTTGGGGTTTCACTCCTTAGGAGATTGTGAATTCCCTACTAGTTGAATGCACTTAAATCGACAATGCCGGGTGCCTGTGATAAACCAGATGGGCTAATCCAAACACTCACTGTCTAAATTGATTGAGCCATTCGCGCAAGGTGTGACCGTCGACCATGTAGCTAACGGTATGGAACTGCAGTCCCAACCGTAGGTTTGTGGTTCGATTCATGACAGGGACACAGAAATTACGACGAGTACGAAACAGGACGAAACAGCTGTGCAGTGCTCTTTGTCGGTTGTCACAAACATTTCCAGTGCATTTATACTGATATATGATTGAAAAGCCTCGTTACCACCGTGGCTGGGCAACACTCTGACTAATAGTCACAGTCTTTTAGTCGAAGGATTAACAAAAATCCTATAGTACAAATTGTGGCGCAGAGCATACTAAACGGTGAAGACAAAACACCAGTGGTCAGGGGAAGCACAGGGTTACGGACTCGCTCAAGAGATCTGAAAAAACCCCAGGTATCAAAGCGGATGTGGACTGGACACAGGATTATCCGCTCTGAGATGTATTGCGCAGTCTGAATGTGTGTACACAGCATGCCAGTATGCGAGAAAATTCTATTGAGGTGAAAATGTCATCAAAGAGCTGTGTGTGACTTACATCGAATGCTCCATAATATCAATTTTTGGACGTGTTCACGTACCCACGGTGTCAGAGTATGCCTCCCAAGAGAAAGCACCGGTAAATTGATCTGGGAATTTCCGATATAACTGAATCCCCTACTGATTTCACCCGTTCAAATTTTCAATACATAGTATATGTGAGCTATATATGGTTTTATTTAGTTATGTGGTAATCAAAACAGAATTATTAGTGAAGATTTGCTTACTGTGAGAATTCGTTTTAATTGGTCTTGCTTGCTTGCAACTATCTATTGTGGCCCGTTCCAGTCCAGAGGTGAAATAAACTGGGACCAAGTTTTATTTGAAACCTGTAATTTTTCAATCCACTCAATTCAGATAAAATGATAATAACCCACCCCACTCTCTAAAAAAAAAAAACCAAGATACGTAATTGTCCTGCAAATTTTGAGGGCTGATGAGCGAAAAATTCAATTGTCATGTCATAACAACTTTCGTAATTGTGAAACAGTCTTTGTACTAAAGTAACCATAACATTTATATGGCACTGACCTTGGTTTCCCGTAGTGACGGTTGCTATGCCACAAATCATGAATAACAGTTAAATGCACTAAGGAAGCCGAAAATATTTGAGGGTTGGGACACAAAACTGCAGGAAGGCACAATAAACATAGGGGTTGGGGTTCCTTTCTTTGATCAAATATTGCAGAACAAGATGGAGTCTGTCCACCGTGAAACGGAAGAAGAATGATGTGTATTGGTACTCATTTTTGTCAACGCGTAACCGGTGAATTTCTTGTGGTCTTTTAATTAGACACCATTGAGCCCCGAGAATCTAGAGCATTGTTATCAAGGGCACTCACTGTCTGTGCATGTCTCGACTTGTAGGTCAAGCTGATCTCATCGAGAAACCGAACGGGTGTGAAGAAAAATACACGGATTAAAGATTAGTAACACTTAATTATTGATAAAAGTATTCATTATAAAGTGGAACCCAAATTAAAATCATGTTTAACAGTTTCATGTTTAACGAATGCTGGATTTGTGGGTCAACTTTCGATTGAAATGAACAGATGGTATCTCGTGTCTTCAGTGGTTGAATTCCATCCGAGCCCAAATCGCTTTGCAGCAAGTGAAGATCGTATTGAAACGAAATAGAATCAATGTGAGCTAGTTGGCATCGAGGAGACACATGATTCTGATTGGCGAGCGGTTCAGTGGTGGTGTGGTGGTGCCCCAGAGGACATGTGTTCGAATCCCACCACCACCACCATCATCATCAGCACCACCAACACCAACAACAATAATAACAACAACAACAAGAAAAACAACGATAACAACTCATTGGTTCAGATAACGCCAGATTGGGTAAGATCGACGCTGATTTGCAATGTTTTCCCTCAGTCGGTTCAACTTGTAACTCGATTAATNAATACATTTCATTTTTTGCTTTAAAGTTATTTCAAAACTTGAAACGCCATGAAAGTTTTGTTCATTTGTACTCCCTTGTTTACTAATCACTTTAAATGCCAAATTTAGAAACAATAACTTAATTTGTTTGGGTGAAATTTTTCAAAGTTCTTTCGATGGATTCTGGTGAATTCTAAGGCAGACCTGTCGAAGCAGTCAGCCTAAATGCTACCTGGAGGATGCCATATTCCTCTGTAAGTTGGATGGATAAATTCCGATGTGAAAAGATCAGTGCTATCGGTGTGGCCTGGTAACTCAGCTGGTACAGCGTGCGGTGTACAAAACAGTAGGTGGCATCCATGCGTGGATTTGAATCCCACCGTTTCCCACTGAACTTTCCGAAATTCATACATAAAACTTAAATCTCCCAAAGAATAATTCATTCATGTATCATAAGATAGTCCTTTTCAATTATCATGTGCAATGTTTGAACCATTACAGTGGTGCATTAGTCAAAAGTTGATACAAATTCATTTTGGGCAGTTTATCTTCCTAGGCCTCAAAATTCCAATCGTAATGACAAACCATAGAAAACAAGCACCACCTTTTTATCGGCATGATAGCAATTTTGACAAATGAATCCTGTGCTTATTGAAAGATCAGTCTATCACATATATATGGAGTATAATCAGTACTGATATAGATGATTTTTAAGAATATGAGAACTTCTATCACACGTTCTTGATCTTACAACGATCGATTATAAATTTAGAAACCTGTCCATTGGTAATCGTGCAGAATGAGATCATTTCATAGGTAAACTGATCACTTCATAAATAGCGAAATCTAGAGTAGCTCTCGCCAACCGGCGACACCCGTGGCGCCGTCATGACATCCAAATGTCCCTTAAGGGAAAGGTGTACATTGTGGCGGTTCTTAGCGTTCCACTTTACGGTTACGAGAACTGGCCCCTCCGCGTTGAGGATGCTAATTGACTTTCTGTATTCGACTATCAGTGACTCAAAAGCACTGCTCGTGTCTGGTGAGAACACCGGGAGTGCAATCACGAGGTTCGTCGTCGTGTGTTGGGTGCAGATAGTCGTTCTCCAAAAATGAATTAATCGCTCTACACCGCCTCCGATGGCTTGGTCACGTATTGCGTATGCCTGCCCATAGACTACCTTTCCATCCATGTTCTCTTTGTACATGTCGGTTGGAAGAAGTGGCGCTGCGGTCAGACCATGAGATGGCGTAGAGGTATGAAGAATCGGGCTTCAGCTTTGGCTTGATGCAGCCCACCTTCCAGGTTAGGAGTCCAAGGGATGAGGATTGTCGTTGGTTAGAGACGCTGAGAGATATGACCCAGAATAAAAGCCAGTGATGCAAATGCTGTGCGGTCTGCCTGTCAAAATCCCGTGCCCCGTAAAAAAGCAACCAAAAAGACAAAAAATTTGAAAAAGTGTACGATGAAATAAACAAATTTGTTATTCCATTCATGTACCATTTTCTATTTTAACTGTTTCACCTTCTTTCCACTTTGCTTGATGGTTGATGGAGTTTTACATGGGTTTTCTAACAGGCAACTGTTTCCATCTTGCTATGCGCAGTGAGCAGCGCGAATTGTTTGAGTTGATTTTGGGGATTTAAGACCAAAATAACTAGGGTAAGGAATTGAACCCAGATCGCAACATGATCAAATGAGTTGGAACATTCGATGTAGACTATCAGATGAGAAATTTCCTTTTGAAGAATCGTCACACACAAGTGTTTGCGGATGAAATCAAAGTCATTTGTGAATGCCTAGGCACCATTTGAGCTGGCTGGCACAGTGTTAACACACACACATACACCTTCTATTCAATGGGTCAACGGTTCAAAGCCAGGACTGGACGGTAGATATGCCCTACTGATAAGCTCCAGTAAGAGCCAAACTGGAGTCTAGTGCTCCCGAGTGTCTAGTTGGCTAGAAGAACTGTGGGAGGTGAGTGGGATCGCAGTCTGAGCGATGCTCATTTATAATAAATTAATTAGTAACAAACATTGTATCTATGTGATCTCCATTATTTTATGATCGTACATCTCACTTATGTCCGATATTTACCATTCAGTCAGTTCTATCTGACTAATAAACAGATTCTGCTTTACCTGTGTAGCGTTATATGATGGGCACAGTTTAGCCTGGATCAAGTATTAGGAACAGGCATGTGATTACGCGTTGAACGCAATCATCAGAAATGCTTACCGTAAAATATTTGGCAAACACCCCGAGCAACAATGATGACCGCAATCCTGGAACAGGATTGGCACACGAAGTGGATGACCACAAATAATACAACGATAAATCGCATCCAGTTCATCAATGAAGACAATCTCCCCCGTATCCCGTGCTGACAAGCTACTGAGCGAAATCATTGAACCCGGACAACTGGCCGCGCTGGCCACCCCGGCGGAAATGTGTATTACGGATCCGGCGGGAGTTCCCGTGGGTTCGACTACTGATACCGAATTGTTTGCCAAATCCTCGGAGTTTTGTGTGGGCAAACGAGTTTCCGAGGTATCCGGAGCTTTTGGATCGGTTTTGGCCTTGTGCTTTTTCGACTTCGATTCCGCTGATTTTGCACGTTTCTTGGTAGGCTTTTTTGGCGTTCCTTCAACGGAGTCATCCGGTTGGTTTGTGTCCGTCGCTAGGTCTTCACTTTTGACCGGTTTCTTCTTCGGTCTATCCTTTTTCTCTTTTTTTGCTCGATTTTCTGCAATGAAGCAAGGTTGTGCACGGTGGTCAGAATAGTAACATATACACATATGTGATGGAAATGATGTGGAATTTTTGTAACTCCGGATACGGATGTTGGTTTTGGTGAGTTCTCCGAGCTGGAACTGGTGTTCGCAGATGTTTCGCAGCCAAGCTAAGCCAAGTGCGAAGTTGAACTGATGATGTGGCCTAGTTTGGCTACGGTATGTCTGCTAACACCAGTTCCAGCTCGGATTACTCACCAACACCAACAGTAACACGTACACTTCACAGAATTTACTAGACAATAAATATGTGTATTCTGCCTTATCAGATTGATAAGTTAGGATATGTGAGAATTTTGCCTATCAGCAAGGGACAAAACGTGTGTGTGGGGGGGGGATTAAGTGCAATTTATGAGGCTTATGATGCCAATCCCTGACAGTTATGAAACATCCACACTGAACCGCTAGAGATTCTCACATTGAGATTGCATGATAAAGAACGCGCTCATCACTTGCTCACCTCGTTCCCAAAATAGAGGAACAAGCTGGAATCACCGTTTTGTGATCGATAGTCGAGCTTAAACGGTGGACACAGAACCCGCTCTATTTCCTTGATTTGTATGGGATTGTTACAAGCGATGTGTGTAAAAAGACCTTAAAAATCGATCTATTGGAGGATAGAATTTAATTAGTGATACAATTGTGCCTCAATTTTGTTGTACACGACCGAGAACAGTTCAAGTTGATCAAAATGAACGCTGAGATGATAAAATAGCGGGAAGATGTTGTAGGTAAACCCTGGAATATCTGGATACAGTCTGTGGTCGTATTCATTACTGGATCGGTGCCATTACCTTAGTAGTTCTTACATCTGATGTTTAGAGGTTTTCAGGATGAGGTGATTTCGTGTGAGGTTTTATTTTTTTAAATCTGGCACTCTTCTTTGACTTTGTAGAAGAGTTTCCAGCTCATGAATTTTCCGAAACCTTTTGCAAGAGTTGATTATAAGCACGGTCATAAGCATGACCTATTCGGGCAGTCACCCCCAAATTAGATTAGAATTTTACTAACTCTGTGTCACATTTCATCCCACGGTTATCGATCTATAGACTACTGTGCTTCATCTTGTGACAAGATAAACGCACAGTACTCTAATTCCGTGATTTAGCCTAGGCAAAGTCTGCCAGTCTCTCGAAGAAACTCAGCGAGATTCAATAGTTTCGGTTACTTTCATCAAAGACAACTCCATAAAGTAAAATAAGTTATTGCTGACATAGTCTGCAGTTACCTNNNNGTTACCTCCTCATAATGGGCCGCATGCGTAGACAATTCCCTGAACTATTTCGCTAGCATCACTCCATTCGGAAGAATAGTGAAGTGACCGGGATCATCACCAGTTCGATTGTTTCACATCTGTTGGGGGACAAACCACGTTGTTAGTTTGACCAAGGCATTTTAACNTGCATGGCTATCGGCACCTATCTACACACACAGTCATCCCTTTAATCACCCTTGGAATGTGAAATGATCGAATTGTGAGGAACATGGAATTGGAATTTGATCTTTTGGTTTCATTATTATTATTTGTTCTTTGGAGAATAAGATAGTTAAAATTTAGGGAAGCCTGGGAGAGGATCTTTGAAGGGCTCAAAAAACGGACTGTCATATAATACCACAAAATGAGCAAATTAAACGGTAATGGTCAGATCCGAACTCCCGCATTTTGTCGCTGTCTGATAGTGATCTAAGCCGCTTGACTATTCTCACGTTTGGAATTCGTTCCCTGCGCTCTGCGCAAAGGTTAGCATTCTGACTGTGCATAACCTAGATGCGGACTTCAGATCACACAACCTATTGGGTAGTATGATTGTTTCCTACCTGTGAGTTCCCGGATTCGAACCCTCTCTGTTAGGTCCACGGATTTGCACCACCAGTCAGACCTGCATAGTCTGGCGGAAACAACTGTCCAGTGCTTCTCAGATTTGCAGTTCACTTTTCGTTTGCTCTGCACACGACGAGATCCACCATATTTTTAATCCAAATCCTCCACTACTCTCATTCGAAACATACAGATGAACTGTGAATTGAACAATCTCTCTACTTTTCACATCCAGATCAGTTCACCTATTGTTTTCCGCTCGATTAATTGTGAAATTAATGACTCATTTTAAACGGTTTATTAGTTGGAAGTGATACAATTTGCAGAGGATATCCATCTGGGCAGAAGTAACTCCTTTTCAAGTTTTGTCTAAAAAGTGTGTTGAATACGGTTTTTAGTCTAATAGGAGAGTTGGTCTGTTACGATATTATTTCTTTCCAAAACATATATTTGAAATGTCTTGTACTTATTGTTTCTTCCCAGTAACTTTGGGTTTCTATCAAATCTACTACAAATTGACTTCACTCGACTGAGGTTCACTAATTCAAGGGGTTTAGGATTAGGTAAAACAGAATAAAAACACTTCCATCACATTTTCGTATCATCATTTCGCGGATTGGGGCAATTCTGACTCGTGAATGTCTCTGAATTGTAGACTGCTCGTTCTCAACTTGTTTTCGATCGGTTTTCTTACCAGTTCAGAAAAACAATAGTACTCCCAAAAGGAGGACCCAGCTGTTTCGCACGGTTTGTTAGCCTTCATACACACACCATTTGCTCGAATAGACGCGTACAATACACAGATAAAATCCCATTTTTATCCTGCCTCACATGCCGTACGATACTATGTCGGACAATTAGCCGAGACCGTGCTCTTTACTTCTTCATGTCAGTCCCAGTTAGGCACGTTTGAAAACAACAAGAATTGAGTTAGTTTTTTTGGGAAAAGTTTGTTACCCATACGATTAATTATTTTATTCGAATTAAGGGTCTCTAATGAGACAATGCTTGTTGTTCATTTTCCAATCCAATGTGCTACTCTACCAGAGCTAGTCCAGCTAGCGACTGACGTAAAGAGTCTTCCGAAGTAATTCACCGACTATGAGGGTTGACTAGCTTGACAGTGGCTGATGCAATCCCAGAAGACAAATTGCCCGCACCGCTCTCATCTACCATTAAATACTTTGTACTTAGCACACCTTGAGTGCACGATGAGATTACTGTCTTGAAAAAAAGTTGAAACCCCTGCTGGATTGGTGTCATTTTCGGACACAGATCACCAAGTGAGAGGAGATAGTGCTTTGTTTCGCCTACCGTGATCCACCTCCCGGCCTTCTACGGTACCAAGACAGCATCACACTCACACAATCTAGCACAGAGGTGAGAAGTATTCGTCGGTTCCAGTTGGCGAACACAAGCCAAAGCTATCAGCTCAAGTATTGTAACTACCATGGTCTCCAGATGATCACCCAAACAATGACTCAAACTTACCACTGATCCATCATCCGTGTTCTAGGAGTTCCCTCGCCACACACTCATTATCACTGGAAAAAAGAACTCAGAAGCTAAACTGAAACTCCGAATTGATTTGCATCGATCAGAGAATAGATCAGTGGAAACAGTTGAATCTTACTGAATGTGTGTTCCCTCAACACCTCAATGCTGCCTAATGTTTGATCCTGTGAGAGAAACAAGATAATTTCAATCAGCGCATACCTTACCTGGCAAATATCGTCCAACTCAGGGCAGAGAGGGTTTGCAAATTAATAAACTGAATAGTGTCATATTACTTCCCCATAAGAGCAGTATGAACAGTATACCCAATTACCTAGG